AAGCAGTTGCTGCCATTTGTACTGGGAAACTGTCAGGAAGACAGTTCATCACATTTAAAATTAACTAATACAACAAAAACATAAACTATAAATATAAAAGTAATTAAAAGTAATGCTGTGCTAATTATTATAATTTAAATTACTTCTATAATGTCAACTTTAGGGCAGTTATACTTTTCAGTCCATTTAAATAAATGGTAAAGACATTTTTGAATATATGTTGGACGTTTTGTGTAACGTTTTAAACCGGTCAATAATTGCTCTTGTGTCACAATACCAGTAACCTAAAAACATCAAAATATAATTTATTAATTTAAAGTGGTTTTTTTATACAATATACAATATACTTTCGATTATCTGCGAAATAGGTTGGCTTGGCCTTCATGGATAAGCGAATTCTGTGGATAATCCACAAAATTCAATAATTACAAATATATTATATGTATTATTAAAAAAATTAAATCATATAATTTAAATAGCATTTAAGAAAAATTAAATAAGAGCATATTTTATTTTTATTTAAACATTCATTTAAAATTACGAAAATGTTTTAAATTTTATTATAAAAAATTAAAGATACACATGTATATATAATGAAATTTTTTTTTTTTTTGTATTGATTCTAGGAAGACTATAGATAATCAAGAGTACACTATATAAAAAATAATTAACTAATAAATCATAGTTTATTATTGATATATTTAAATAATACTAACCACTAAGTCTGGATTATATAATGGATGAGTGGGAACAGTGAACATGGCCAAACCACAATCATCCATATGCATTAAACCTAAGAATCTTAGTTTTTTATGAGTAGTTAAAAAATCTTGCATTATTCTTGGACCAACATTATCACTTCCTAAAAAATTTGATTCAATTTTTTCAGCAATGAGTATTTAATATATAAATAATATATACTATATTTCCATGGTATGAGATTTAAATAAGTCAAAATAGAAATCAATAAAATATATTTTGTACGAAAAATATATGATTTATTAAAAGTACTTCATACCATACAGATTAAAATGAATGATGTGATTTTATAAGTTAAAATATTCCATTATACAATGGATTAAAACTTACCAGATATATCCAATGAAACTAAATTGGGTAACCAATCAGGATCAGTCAAAAATTGTAACCATGGTGTATCACAGCTAAAATTTTCAAACGGGTGAGAATATTTTTCAGATGATAAATCCAAATGTGTCAACGATGTCATACTTTTAAGTGGACTAAAGGCAATTAAATGCATTGTAGCTTCCTGGAGAAAAAAAATCAAGTTTTTATTATTTAACCTTAAAAATTCAATATCATATTATGATATGTTTAATTAAAATAGTGAATCTTAATTAAATATAATTATTGAAATTATATATATTTATATATAGGTATATATAATATGTATTTGTAATTAAATCTACATATTATATGAATATTGAATAAATCTATTTTTAAATTCAATAATGAAATGTCTTTCACTAATTATATCTTAATTTTTTATTAAATTATCGATTTAATCAATTTTTTTTTTTTTAAACTATGTAAATAAAAACAAATTGTTTTTAGTTTTTACCTTTAAATTGTATACACTTAATTTTCTTAATTGGTTTTTCTTCTTTCCCAATGGTAAAAGTGTGTCAACTTTTGTATTAGAAATATCTAATGACTCCAAAAGAGGCAAATCTTCAACTACAGCAATTAAATTGTTGGTACTAAACTCAGTATTACTTACATCAAGTGAACAAAGGTTTTTTAATTTTGATAATGAAACAGCAACACAAAATCTCAAGTCACTGAAATTATAAAATAAATAATATTTACTTAAATTTGGCTTTATTATGAATCATAATTAAATTTCATTTAAAAATTATGAAAATATCTATTTGACTTTAATTATTAAACAAATATGCATTAAAAAAGACATTTTACATAATTTTATTTTAACAAGAACTTACTAAGAATCACTAATGAATGAACTGTTTGATACACTTAATGATTCTAAATTCTGTGTTGTCCATTCACCTAATGAACCAACAAGTTCATTTACTGTACAATCCAAACCATAAACTTTAAGTTTTTTAATTTTATGCTTTTTTAATGTTCTTAGTCCTTTTGTGGTTAAATTTTTTGTTTTTGGTAGTATGACATTTCTAAAAGATATACAAATTATTACAATATATATATAATAATATCATCATTACGTAAACTATCTACAATACTACCTAGATAATAAATTAAATTTGAAAAACTAAAATAATTGTATATTTTTAATTTTAAAATATATTTTACACAGTTTTCCAAACTTTTTTCATTTAAGACATTATTAATGTTAATAATACATGCTATAATACTAATATATTATAGCATGAATAATTTAATTATTATAAGTTAGATTCTAACCTATTAATGAAAATTAAGTTTCTCTCAACAAATCTATATACTACAAGTATAATATATTATCTGCTAAAGATAAGATACAACAAAATTAGCCATTGAACTAATCGTCTAGACAAATTTTAATGCCTAAATTAAAAAGTGCCTAATGTCAAAACAGAGAACATTTTACTGAATATTAATTAATTAATTTAGTTGCACATTAGTACTTACTATTAATAAATTCAATATTTTAATAAACTTTTTTTTTTTTTATTATTATTTATTTATAATCTATATTAATAAATACAATAAGTAAATTTGATCACGGAGAAAGAAAAAAAATAACAAGAAGAATGCAATTAGAGGAAATATCTAGTGATGTTATTCAGCAATATTTATGATAGTAGAAACTAGTAATAGCATTCTCTAGTCTGAATTTAAGACTTTATAGATATATATACATATTTTTTCAACTAATTTTTTTTTCACATAAATTAAGTGTGAATAATATTAGATTAATAGGTCCTTGGACCATTTTTTTTATCGACTGGTTGTATTGGGAAGGTATAAGGAGGAAAAATTGGATATAAAAGGATCTGAATGATTAAGTAGTTTGTTATAGAATCGTGTAAAAAGTTTAGATGTTTGATCGGGAATGGCCATTAGGTTGTGGAAATTATGAAGGATTCGATTACTAACATAACAAGAGGTATTGGTTAGTGTTCTGAGGGATATTATTGAAAAGATTGAATAATTTTTATGTTTGAGTTTCTGGACCCTCCTCAAAATTAATTGGATTCCATAGGAAGCCAAGGGAAGAATAAGTTGTTTGTGTACTATTTTTTCTTTGTAGTGATAGTTTGGATTTTAATAAAGAACATAATTGATGAAGTCCATGGTTTAAGGATTTCCTTTTCATTTTAATATGTTTCCCAAGTGAGTAGTCTATCTAGATGCATCCCAAGATATTTTATGGACCATTTAGTTAGTATTTGTCTGTTGTTAACACAGACTAGAAGGCAGTCATGAAGGTGTAATGAAAATATTATGTGAGAGGAGTTTTACTCATTAATTCTTATTGTCAATTTTAAAAACCAAGTTTGAAGTTATGGTTAATATATTATTGGAAAGGACACTGTTTCAGGATTTGGATTAGATGCTATTATACCTGCATTATCAGTAAAAATAGCCTTAAGTTGTGAAGTCATTGTGTGGGATGCCTGAAGAGTAAATTTTGTTGATTGTGGGTGAAAGAACCTACCTTTGTGGAACTCCAGCATTAATACAACGGTATTCAAAATAACAATTATATCAGTGTAAGGTTTGAACTTTTCTTCCAGATACAAATATGAGGATGGCTGTTTTGGCTTTTAATATAGCGAGAGAATTATTTGTAATCCTTAATAGAGCCATAGTTGATAATGAATTAAAATTTTTTTTAGTACAAACCCAGATATTGAGCTCTTATTATTTGAGAGGAACTATAAGATTTAATATTTATACAAATTGTATTTATTCAGAATACTTTTAAGTGTATCTGATAAGTTATTGAATATCTTTTTTGTCGTTTGGCAAATTTTTTGAACTCAGATATATATTTTTTAAGACAAGAAAATAAAAGCATTGTTTAAAAAGTAGTGTGAATTCTCATAATTTATCAACAAATTATTTATAAATTAATACTTACATACTTATTTTACTGAACCTATAAAGTAAAATATTTTCAATTAATAAATAAACTTACCTCAAATAGACATTTTTGTGACTGAATAATGATAGTATCTCATCATTAAGTTTATTCCGTATACTAAGTTTTGTTAACAACATCTCTGATACTTCCATTGGCAAGTATATATTTCTATCAATAAACATATACTCAGGTTCAGAAGGCTGTAAGTCAGTCTCACTTATTTGTTCAGCCATATAAAGTTTTTCTATGTTGTTGCAGACATAGTCAATGCACAAATTTTTTAGTGTTTCAGGATTGGCATACATTATGGATATTAAAATCACTTGCAGTTTAAATGTAAAAAAAAAAAATAACAATCACAAAAAACAATAATAAATGTATGATGGCTACTATGTTAGGCCTTTAATATTTACGGATGAGTTCTCAAAAGTTAATAACTAATAATTAATACGAAAGTCACATTATTATTCTATAATAGTCAGCTGATTTAAGATGATGATTGATGATTGAAGTATAATAACAATATTATGATCCGTCTAAAAGTATTATACTATTATAAGTATCATGGTATTATCATTAATCACGATATTATCTTTTCTGTATCGTGAGACACAGTGAACTCTGACTACAATACATAACACTCGATGGAACAATTTATTCACAAATCTGACGATTGATAAGAAAATAAATAAACATTGAGAATTCACTAACCAGTGGGGGGGGGGGAGACAACCCACGACATCTACTTAATAATTTTGATTTATTTGTATCCAGGATTAATTATTACCTATATTTTATTTTATAATGTATTAATGCATTATTCCTAAAAGTAATATTACTAATTTCCTGTAGCTTATAGACCAAAGAATATTCTATGATAACATTGTCTGATAGTAACAGTATGAATGTGTGATAACATTATTATTAAAAATTATACATTTTTTAACTAACAAAATTTTGTGTTTATAGTTATTAAGATTTTGTAACACTTTTACAGTTATACAATTAATTTCTCTGAAAAATATTTATATAATATTTGCTTTTTTTGAAAATATTAATCCTTTTTTTTTATCAAATTCTATCATCTGCCTAGCACATCGAAGTACAATACAATAAATATGGAGGTAAACAATTTTGTTCTTTTATGTTTAGCAAAAAAATATTTAAATACCCGTGTATATGGTTTTAACAAAGTTAATAGTTTTTAAAATAAAACTAGCAATGTAATATATCGATATGTAGTAGAAAATATTATGCTTACATATCTACACAATTTTGTTTAAATCATTATTAAAAAATAATCTGATTTTTTAATTTATCTATTATTATATAGAGAAAAAAATTAAATAATGATTTATTATTTAATATTTTTGAAATATTATCTTACTCATAATTTCAATTTTAATTAATTTTTGTTTATTACTAAATACAATTAATATTTTGAATATTTTAATGTAGAAATATATATATATCTATATACTTTCATATTTTTAAATTCAATGGTGCAATAATTAAAATTTACACCTATGTCTTGAACATAATACTCAATGTAATACTATAAATTATTAATTGTTTTAGGATTTACGAAGATATTTATACCAAACCTTGACTAAAGTTGAAGGTCTTTACTCAATTCTAATATCTGATCATGATGGTGTTATTATTTTAAAAGGTAAGTACTAACAATATCATGTATATATTTTTACTGATATAATCAAAAATAAAATATGTAACTTAGAAAATATTTTTATTTATATTTTGATATCAACTATCTAAATTATTTATGTGTTATTAATGAAACATTAATTTTTCGACCTATCAATATTAAGTACCTATATATGTTATAGCCCATGCCAATAAAGCATCTGAACAAAATTCAAATTACAAACATTCATTTTTATCAGAATTTAATTCTGCATCAGAACAAGCAGGAAAATTGGAACTTGGAAAAAATAAAACAGTGATTTGTTTTTACACAAACAACCAAGTGCGTATTTGAAGTTTAGTAAATTATAAAGTAAAAAATTAATTTTGATATGTTATAATATGACATAATTTTATGTAGATACCTATTTTATTGGTTATTTGTAGTTTATATTATTTCATTACTAAGTAATGTTGGATTATTCTTATTAAGGAACATAATAATTAAATTTCTATATTTAAATAATTTAAAAACAGTTATTGTTTTTATTATTTATTATTCATAATATTTTCAAAATCTTTGAACTAAAATAAAGTCATATTAAAAACAAAAAAAAAATTGTTTTTCACCATATTGAAATAACTTTTAATTAATCTTTATTTGTATTAATTTTAGATAGTCCAGTTAAATTGCTCAAGATTCTTAATTACATTTGTGGCTTCTGAAAAAGCAAATACTGGTAATATATTAGGGCTAGAAAAAGTACTGGAACCATTACTTAAGGATTTACAAGCTATACAGTTTCCTTGATTGTTTTTTATTATTAATATTATCATTATTATTATTACTATGTTATATTATATAATATGATAAATCTTTCCTTTCATATTAATGATTATTATTTTATTCTATTAAATATTTGTATTGTGCACTTTTAAGAAATTAAAGGGCAATTTTGTATATTGTTAATGTTTTTACACAAATTAATAAAATACTAATAATTTTACTTTGATTATTGTATTTATAAACAATATAAACAATATTTCAAATTATTTTTATAAAATACTATTTAGTACAAATATTAGGAAAGTATAAAATGTCTTTGTATTTGAAATATGTTTAACTAGTTTTAACTTAAATTTAGTTTAATTTTTCTGAACTCCTAATTAATTATTACTTTATACTTTAAGTTGTTAATATTTATTTAACTATATACTTTTTAGAAACTTTAAATAGAACATTTAAATTCATTTTGAATTTAAAATTTATTAAACACAGACATTTTTTAATGCAAATTCTTGAACTATGTTTTTAAAAAAAAAAAAAATAATACACAATACAATCAACCTTATCATTAGATTTTCTAAAAAGGTTTCTTTTTTCGCTATTCATATCTGTCATGTGATGTTCTGGATCACATATTGGTCACTTGGTCTTGTTGCTTGTCTATAATTTTCCCATTTACACTTGAAGTGTTGAAAGATATGAATGATTATCCAAGACTCGCTAGACTTTTTTTTTATGTTCTTATACCCTAAAATGATTATAAATCTTTCAAATACCATATTATAGGTTATTCTCAAAATGTAGGTTCTCTGAAGTTCTTCTCATGCTCATTCATAGGGCTTAAAACCCCACTGGATGAAAGACCATTAGAGTTGTGTTTTTCTTTTTTTACTATCACTTCTCATTATATATCTACTAAAATTACCTTTAAAACCTTTCAATGATTGTAAATTTCAGACATATAATTAGTCTACATATTTTATTAATCCGTACATATATGATATATCTACTGTATATAAGATAATAATGTCCAATTTCAATAATGGACTGTCATGTCAACCGCCAATTCGCTTAGTACTAGAGTGGTTTTTCTCAGTGGGTACCAAAACCAAATTTTGCATGACAATAATTTGCAGATCACCTCCACCATCAATCACCAATTTTAATAATTAAATCATTTAAAAAATCTTTTATTTATCATTACTGTCAATTATTCAATTAGTATACTTAACACCAAATAATGTATACTTAGTTTATAATATATTGTTCTTACAGTCTTGTATCAAATTACCTATTATTACGCATTAAGATGGAATTAAGTTATTTTATTTAAATATTGATAGATACAGATAAGTACATAACTCAGCTTCTGAATCACATTATCTCAATGGGTTAATATAATATTTTCAGAGATATAATGACACTTACAACATATAAATTATAAGTAAATAAAAAATGATCTACATACTTTATTAGAATATATGTATTATATTAAATACCTAATAATCTTTAAACTTTAAATCAGTAATAGTAGAACAATAAAAATAATAGTTAACATTTAATGGATGGGTGGATAGGTGCAACATAGTAGGTGATATAAGTGAAAGTTTTATGAGAGTATAGCCCCTTTTAAAATAAAAATTCCTATTTTATGTATTCAAATTAAATTAATATCTAATTTTTCTTTATACGCGTTTTCAGATAAGACTGATCAAAAAAATCCATCTACTTATACTTTTCTTTAGATGAAAAAAAATATACCTCAACTTGGTAAAGAAGAGTGATAGTTTTTCAAAATTCTCAATAGTTTTTTTTTAAATTGAGGAAAAATATGGGAAATTGGACTGTTTTTTATATAATAATGAAGATTTATAGTTATTCATTGATTTGACTATTCTAATTAGTAAACCGTGGAGACATAATATATTATAAAAAATAGTTTTTTAGTTTAATGACGTATGTTGATGTGCGAACATACTTTACATCAATGGTGGCGCGAAGACAATGTTTTGAATCTCATGACTCAAGTCAGTGGGTGGTTGCTAGAATGATGGAGTATTAGTGGTAGCCATAGCATAGACATAATTAGGAGGGCTTAGCCCCCTCTCCCCCAAAAAAAATATTTAGACAAAACTTATTAAGAATTCAATAAACGATTAAAATGCAAAATTTGTTTTTGTTTCTGTAGAATTTTGAACACTTATTTAAATCAGAATTTTAACAATTAGGTATCTAATAATTTTTGCAAGGATTATGGCCCAATTATTATAAATTATAATACATAGGTGTGTGTATATTGGTTTATTATGCATTTTTATATAAATATTATTTTATTTTAGGTGGTAAAAATCTTTATGGATAAACATGGTTGTAGTCATGAATCATGATTAAAAAACTATAAAAAATAAAGTATATTTTCATATTAAATTAAATATTTTAAAACTATTAAAAATTTCTATGAGTTATTGAAACATTGATTTGATGTTATAAAATGTGAAATGAAAGTAGCAAAAACAGTTTATTAAGATTAATTGAGGAAAATTAAATCAATATTGATGGTCTTAAATAAGTTGTAAGTCATTTAGTTTTTCCAAATTTATTTAAAACTTGTACAATTAGCGCTCAAAATACCAATAAGTTCAGCATCATATAAGAGGTCATTTTCGGCCACGCGCAGGATAAAAAATTGGCTGCGCATTTCTATGGAGCAAGATCGTTTTACTAACTAATCATTAATTTATATTGAAAGAAGTATATCTAATGAAATAGACAGTAAAGAAATATTAAAAGAATTTGTAAAAATGATCATAAAATAAAACAATCAACAAATAATAGGGACATAGTTTTTTTTAGTATTTGTAATTTTCTTATTAAATAGTAAATTATTAATATGTGTAATGTGTTAGGGATATGTATTTTTCAGTTCAATAATAGTAGCGGGAAAAATGTATGAGTAAAAAAGGAGCTTTGATAAAAGGTGTGGGGGCGAAGCCCCCCGAATGACTCTTTGATTTATATATGGATAGCCCCCCTCCCAAGTCAAAAACTTAAATTGCGCCAATGGTGCAGGTAGCGTAGAGCAAAATAATGATAAGTAATGAACAATTTAGATATTCATTAATGTACGTTCAAGAGAAGAAAGCTCATTTCAATAGACGAGACTTAAATGTGCTAGGTTGGTGGGTGGATGGAGAGAATACTAACTGGACTCATGAAGTAAAATATTTCATGCCACCACTGTTATATATATATGCATATAGCATATTAAAATCGTGTTTTAAAACAATCTACAGGCAATGTTAACTGTGTATAAATAATACAGCGAATGTTGAATGCTGTAATATATAAAATTACGACTATTGACGAATTATGAACAACTTCCGAAATTATTAAATGCTTGGTGCCGACAATCAAATGCGTGGTGATTTTATTTTTTTCATAGATGAGGCAATACTACGGAAAAATACTTAAAAGCACGATCCCTTAACCACCATATATACGACGTCGTTTACTAGAGAAGTGTCCTTACGTACATAAAATAATGCAGTTTAAAATCTCATGATAAGTCCATATTTAATCTAATATTAAAAACAACGAAGTTAAATGTACTGAAATGCTAAGAGTATAGATTTGCAATGTTATGCACTTGTAAGAAATTAAGAAAACACAACTAATAATGCTGGTATAGCGTTTTTTTAAGAGTTGTTGTCTTGAAAAATTAACGTTTATTGGCTCCAATATTAAAATTGGACCAAAAATAATAATTTCATCTCATTAAAACTGATCTAGCCAAAAGTATAGTAATAGTAAGTAAATTATATAAGCAAGAGGTAAGTTAGTAAAAGTGAAACGAAACCAAGTATCTAGATTTTGTGAGTACGAAAGAATATTAGCAAGATTCATTATACGGTGAATTGAATTGTTTGAACCATAATTATTAGTGGGCAAATAGGGACATAAGGATAGCAAGTAGTCGTGGTGGTAGAGCAGGTCAGATGTGGAGGGACTCGAAAGTTGATGAGAGAAAGGAGCCTAGTTCCGTCGGTAGAACCATCGATGACAAATGTAAATATTTTAAGGGCCGATGTATACTTTTTGATATTTTAATTTTAAATTAGTTTTGAGAATTTTAAAGTTGTATGCTTTAAAATACTCAAATACTCATAATTTTAATTATGGTTAATTAATACAAAATGGGCTTAAAAGTATAAGCTTCTCTCGACCTCTCCCTCTTATGATAAATCTTGGCTAGGTTCCAAAAACTATGAATCTTAGATTTTTTACATTAAAAATTCACTATCTCGTATATGATTACTAACTACCTACTAAAATATTCTTGAATATTTGTTTTTTAAACTAAAGTACAAAATAACATAAAAACGGTATTTTTAAATATTAAAAAAATTTTCTTTCTCTTTGTTCGTTTTTCAAGAAATATCTTTGTATTCCTTCAAATAATAATTCCCTGAATTAGTGTTCATAAATTGAAAAGAAAATATGTTATAACTATTTAAAAGAAACATGCATAAAATGTTTTAACCTATACTTTACTTAAGCTTTTACTTTTCTAAGTTCGTCTTATCATAAGAATAACATGTAAAACAAATTTGTAATAAGTAATAACTATAATTTTAATATTACACACACGAAATTAGCATAGTACCTATCAAGATTTTATACTTTTGTTCTCGTAGTACCTATATAGGTAGTATTATTATTATTGTTATCTATAACTTGACATCGGAACAATTCAAATTAAACTATGATTGAATTTTGTATAACGGAAATAGTTTTAACAACATCCGAATTTATGCTATACTCTGTTCGCCATAAGTTGACTCACTTGCGGGCATACACCATATGTCCGTACATACTCGTACTTACATAGCCGCTGGAACGTTCAGAGTGTCACACCCTCCGATTAGATGACGCTGCTCGTTGCTCGTTATAGTATGCAGCTGCCGCCGTGTATACGGAATGTTACAAAACAACAAAATCATTGTTACGAATGTTACGATTATACCTATAATACATCCATAAGGAATTAAATTGACAAACAAAATAACGAATGCGGATAAAAGACTAAAAAATGACCGTAACTGTATAGGGCACGTTCGCAGAGATAGACAGTGTTGACACGTCGATATGATAATCGAATTTCGACATAAACAACATGTGCAGTCACCACGATCTCCATAACGCTTCAAGGACGCGGTGGCATACGTGGCCGCGGCCAGTTTTCGTCAAGCGAGTGAGTCATATTACGGCAAACAGAGTATACATACATGAAAGCTTTAAGGTTTTGTTAAAATTATAAGATTTTTAATATCTTTTAATTTTAACACACGATTAGGTCTACAATAATACGTAGATCCACATTTAACATTTTAGTGTATTCAAATTAAACGTATAATTACTTATAAAATAAATTAAAAATAATAATCAGACAGATTAATTTCATTAATACAGGATATTATTAATTATTGATATTACTTTAATTATAAATTATATTAATCTGAAAATGTCAGCTATATTATAACATCCTAATTGTTTTTAAATATTGATTTGAGGTAAGCATAATATTTGTACAAACTAAAATGAACCATAGTAGCACTTAGATTTAAGATACTGCTTAACTGCTTCAATGGAAATTGGTAGATAATAACATTTAATTTGTTGCAGTTCAAAACGTTCAGTGGCCATAAGCAAGTTAAAGAAGCTTCTGAAGACTGAAATATTATTTATTTTTTTTTATTTAAATGTGTTCTGGTGTTCATTTATTAGCGTTTAAAGTACATTAATGACCACATAAGTTGAACCTAATATTTAACAATGAAGTGCAGTAGGTTATTTTACATTTTAAACGGTCTGGTTCAATGAATGTATAAATTTTATTATGATGTATTTTATTTTCTATGCGGATTAGTACACAAAAAGTTGTCAATAAAATGCTACAATTTCAAGTATGAGGGTAGTTTTTAATATAAAATTGGATTTAGTTAGAACTTTAGAAATATAAAACTTGTAGGAATATACTTATATTATAATCGTACATGATATGACCATGCTAATAAAAGTCTTAAAAAATAAATTTTGTTTACTATAATATGCAGGGTTACCTAACGGAACGCAAAAAAAACGGTTAAAGAAAATTATTCTTGTTCATTAATAAAAATATGATAGAACGAAACCAATTATTTCATTAAGTTTATAGGTCCTTAATATACAGTAACGTTATAAATTATTACATTCATTGAACTTTTTCGGAAAAAAGTTTTAACCTATAAAGTTCTTTGAACAATAACACGAAGAACGTTATAACCTATTAAGTTCTTTGAATAATTGCATAAAGAACGTAATAATCTAATACGTTCTTCGACGTTTTGTAATAGAGAACATCACGAACTAAACCGTTCTTTGAACTTAAAAAATAACGTTATGAATCAAAATTTTCTTCTGACCATTTTGGATTTATAGTATTTATAAAATTATAAGAATAATAAATACTTTAGTACCAAAACTAATTATACATCTTATAATTATATATTATACTTATTATAGCATTTTAAAGTTCTATTTATACTAATAAGTAGAAATTAAGATAAGGATTAAGGATATTATAATATAAATCCAATCACCGATCAATTATTTTTGGCAATTTGAAAAAATATCTAGTAGTAGCATGTAATACACGCGTTTCTATTGTTTAATCTTAAATGTGAATTAATTGTAAGTATAAAATTAAAATAAAATATAAAGATGATATAGACGATAAAGGTAACAAGTTATTACCTATAAAATAATTTCTGACTAACAAGTAGGTAATAATCTAATTACAGAATAATCATAATAACAATAATAATAATCATAAACATTAAACATAATAATATAATAATAATAATAATAATAATATTAATTAATATATATTAGGAATAAATAATCATATTGTACTTTTATTTAAATTCTATCAAATAAATAGTTTGATCGGACAACCATTATATCTTCCAGTAAACTGGGATTCATTCTATTTCTTAGATCATTTAATATAAATCTTAAGCTAGAAAAAAGACGTTCCTCTGTAACCTATTTAACGAAAAATATGAAGTTATAATATATAATGAAAACATATAACATTTAAAATATTTTTATTTTTTTAATTGAAACATTGCCTAAAATCAAAAATTATACAATTGTTTTTGACAGATCGTCATTATATATAGTTTTTATTTTATAAATAATTAGCCATTACAGTAATTGCCTGCCTGAGTAAGGCAAAATCTAACAAAATTGTACACAATATTTTTTTTTTTAAGTGCTCAATCGAGTGGTCAAAAAAGTCAAACGATAACGGCCCTCCTCAATCGGATATCATCGCTAAATACCAAACGGTCATTGATTTGGTGACTATTCCTTTAATAAAATTTATAAGTGCTTGTATTATATAGAATAAAGATGTACATTTAAAATATCACTATTTATTATAAATAAAAAAAAATTAAGTTTTCTAAAATACTTTAAATATTTTTGTTGACAATTATTATTACAATTTATCAATATAGACTTAGAACTAGTAATTATAATTTCTTAGAGTAATTAAAATGTATATATAATTTAGAATATTTTTTTTTTATGTTGTAACAATACCTATTTTTTTAATTTTAAACATCACTATAATCGTATTACGAAGATTCTGATTCTGAATGTAAGCTAGGCAATGTCGATGCACATGATTGAATAGACGACATAGATGAGTAATCATTTTCTTCTGTTGAAATGTGTACATTTTTAAAAAGGTAGATGGGTTGATTCAGCCGTGGACTGAGAGAGGGTTCTATAATTAAATATTTGTCTTCCAATTCATTCATTAATGCACACATTTTCATCTTCATTTCAGTTCTTCCAGTGCTTGGAAATTGTTTAGCTTTAATTGAAAAATTTTCAAAAAACAAATCCATATCATCTACCTGGTTTATTTCTAGTGTGGAAAAATTTTCATTTTCTTTTTGAATTTTTTTATTTAGTGCACTTGGTTTATTTGAATATTCAAGTACATTTTCATCGTTCTGGTTAAATTTAGAGACACGATGATTTTTAATTATTGTTTTAATTGGCAAATCGCTTTCTGTTTTATTGATCATCTTGACGATTCCTTTCTTTTTGTGGAAAGTAGAAGGTTTAGAAGGTTTATGCATTTCAGTTATAGTTATATTGAAAGTCAAACTGTAAATTTAAAATTATTTATGTAATAGTTAAATATTTAAGTATTAAATTAACTTAAATAATAAGGTATTACATTTTTACTTTTATTTCACTAATTAAATTAAATAGAGAAATTATTTTCAAAAAAATTCTTTAACACTTTTCAAAACATTGATATTTTCTTGGTTACCAATAAATTGATCGTGTTTGAACATAATATACATATTACATGCATGCATAGGTACTATTCTAGTTAAAACTTAAAAGTATCTTGTATTATGTATAAGATACCTTTTTGGTATCTTACCCGACCCTGTTTTATTTAAGTTTTAAGATAACAATAACCTACCAATGATTAATAAGCATGCTTAATGTTATAAATTTATAATCTTTAAGTTTAATAGATAAATATACATTAATATTTAAAATAGCATCAGCATATATAAAGTTTAGATGTGTTTTAGATAAAAAATAAAAATATGGTAACTTAAGTCTTCATTAAGATAAATTACAAATGAATTTCCAATTTTTAAAAAAGTAATTTATTTAACTAATATTTTGTTTATTTAAATTGATAATACAAAATATTTAAATATATCTTAATAAAAACATTTTATCAAACTTAACGTAAAAAATGGTTAAGTTAAAACAATTTAGTTATAAAATCTTTATATTTATCTTGAAATTTAACATGCAAGTTTTGGCTATAGTTTAGATAAATTTAGGTAATACTTAAAAGTAGGCTTCTGTTAAAATACAGTTAGGTACTGCAATTAATATCATGAAGTACATTAGGTAAATATTCCTCATCAAACAAGTTTACATAGTTGTAAAGAATAATTTTAAAAGATATTTGAACAAATAAATAAAATATCATCAAAAAAGTATTTGAATTATAAGTACTCAAATTGTTAATTATCAATTGTATTTCAGTAAATAGGTACTCAAATATATTAAAAAAGTGTTTCAAATTACTTTCTAATGTTTAAAAAATACTTAATTTTTTTTTTATTGTTCTTTATGTTATTTTATTTATAAAAATACTCAAATAATTTTACTTAACACTTTTCATCTCAGAAAACAGACTAGTTTTTAAGCAAACAATGATAAAAAAAACAATGCAGTCCACTTAGTCGATGAGAAATAGTTAATTCATTAATTTTATTAATGGCGTTTAATTGTTGATTTAACTGCAACTCACTTTATAGACCTACGCGTGACTCACGTCTAATGTATGGCGCAAAAAATGTTATCTAGTTTAAAATGTTTGTATTTTTGAATCAAAACGGTATCATTTAATGTTTTTTTTTATCTCGTTTTATATTTTATTATATTTTATATCTAATCTATAAAAATGGTCAATCAATTTCGCAAATATTTATTTTTTTCAACAATCACTCGCCGATCAAGAAGTTTTTTTTCTAGCTCTTACATATTTCTCATTCGTAAATTTAGCTCACAAGCTTATTTGATTTTTAACCTTTTTTGAAATACAAAAATATAAAATATTTAAGAAGTTAGATATTCCCACAATTGAAAAATCCCCATTTTTTTTTTTTTTTTTTATTGTGGATGCTTATACAAAAAATTAATAACTATAGGTAGGTATATCATTATTAAATTAGTTTTTAAAAAGAAAAAAATTAACTTATTTTATTGATTTAAAATAAAATATAGAAATCTTTAAGACATAAAAAACCACACAAACCAGTTTTTTAAGTGAAAAAATAATAAAAGAATGAAAATCATAAAGCAAAAAAGGATCATCCTGATTTGAAACCATGCTCACAATAGTGTAGTATGCTTCACGAAAACGTGCGGATGACCAACGCGCGCCTAGTGGCCATTTCTCGTTGGTGGTGACCAAAATGTTCGCGCCAAATATAAAATTTAAAACTCGTATATTATCTGTCGTGCAGCGACGCGCACTTGTGATGGATCAAATATTGAGGCCCATTGGTTTTTAGAAAAATCAACACGGGGCACTGCAGTCATCCGTATGTTTTCGTGACGCGTACTTTTTTTTTTATATATGTAAAATCAAAATGTAGGTACTTGTTTTCTAGTTTATGCTGCGTATTATAATATATCAATATATTGTATAGTATTATTAATTGTTGCAATTTATAAGGTATATTATATATTATATATAAAGTATATTATTTTATTAAATTTGTAGATATTATCAAGACTTTACAAAACTTAAATATAATATAAAGTATTCATATCACAAAAATAAATAAAAATAAAAATAGTTGCCTAAAATAATACTTAAACACTATTAAAAATAAAATTAATAAATTATACTTACAATTGGTTGCATTCGTACTGTTCCAAAAATCTAAGGCGATAGGTTAATATCCAAATTTTTTTTCTATTGAAATATAATCCCGTTTCTAATTTTCTTGCAATTATTTTTGAATATAAATTTCTAATATTTTCCCACATTTGTTTGGTTTCATCAACTTGAAAATAAATAATGTTTTAATACACAAAACATGTTTTTGTTTATTTTAATATTTATTAAAAAATTAGTAAGTTATATTACCGGATTTTTCAATCTTATGTGATATATCTTTCCAGATACTATTTCTCAAAGAAATATTTTCGTAATTGACATCTAATACGTTGTATAGAATCGGATTATTCTTTACAAGAAGCAGAAATTTTTCAACCAAAGGCGAGGAAACACTAAACTTTGAAGTCATTATAATGCCGTTCTAATGTTGTTGGATGTCACACACTCGCACCGTAGCTACTTCTACACCAATCTACACTTCACCAGATGTTTACTTATGTTTTAATGTACAGTTTACGTTCAAAAACCGATGACTATACACGACTGTTGTCTAATGAAAATCAATAAAAGAAGGTTTAAACTTTGAAATCATTTAAGGCAGGTAATTATCTATAATCGTACAATTAAACGGTCAAAAAACATTGTATACGTAAATTGTTTATTTAATCACTTCCAGACTAAATATTTGTAAAGATAAGTAATTGAATGTTTCAAATATATATACACAAAAGATGCTAAAATATAGATTAACGTCAAAATCAAGGTCCACTCATAAACGGATATTAGGTATCATGCGTCTGTGGAAGGGATTACCAAATTGTTTTGAACCGCTTTTACCAAAACGGTTCGCTTCTATCGCTAATGAATTAAATGCCTACATTTTATTGTGTATTATTGATACTTATAATTTTCAACAATACATTGTTAAATATTATTTTAGTTTTAGATAGTTCAAATACGAATACGTACTGGTTTATCATTTGTAATTTATTTCTATATTTTGGTAATTCTATATTTCAGGTTCAAACCATAACAGTAGGTGTATTTACAAATAGTAAGTACCAACGTTTCTACCTATAAGTATATTACTCATTCAGGTGCAATACATTTCAAATGAGTTGATATGTAAAAATAAGTTTATTAATTGAAAATTAGTACAGAACAAAGTATACTTTTTAAAGTACCTATTAAAAATTAAATTTTATTTCACGATTCCTTATTTTTATTTTTTATACTCCATTAAGTAAAAACCTGGTCGCTCGACTTAATATTGAACAACAATGAATACGTTTTCAATAAAAAATATGGTCTGGACTATAAAAATGTTTCGTCTTATATACAAAAGCCGAAACGGTACTAGGAAACTGTATTTAACGATTTTTAAGAATTGAAACCGGTTATTTCAATATCTTTAATATCTTTTAATTAACGTTAAAATAAAAATGTGTTCAATATATAAATTAAATAATGTTAGCTGAAAAACATTCAATTTTTTATAGTTGTATTACTCCAAGAGGCACACAACTAGAAAACCTGAATACGTATAATTATATTACACAACATTTTATTGACATGTCATTACTCATCCTTAATTCTATAACTTTTGAACTGTTTTATTAGAAAAATTACATTAAAATTGAGAAATGCGCAAACATTTTTCTTTAAAAGTATTAAATTGTTTAACATTTAAAAAATACTATGAAAGAGATAAATAAAATTTTATTTTATATTTATATTTAAAAATATATATTTTTTTATATTAAGCATAAACAAATTATTACACATTTAAATAATTTAATGGTTATTTAAGATCCACTGCCCTTTAATATATTTATAGTATACTGAGCATTACTCATAGAAATATAGTTATACTATGTATAATTATAAAATACGGATTGACTATAACTATATCATTACACTTAACTTAAAGTCGGAGTTAAGCTATGGCTTTTACTGAACGTATAAGTAACTCGATAAATTACCTACTAGGATATAATATACCGTGTAAAATTATTCAATTTACCAAACAGTGACTATAGTATGCGTCACGAAAATGTGCGGATGACCGCATCGCGCTATGTGTCGATTTTTCTAAAAACCAAATGGGCCTCAATATTTGATCCATCACAAGTGTGCGCCGCTGGCACGACAGATAATATACGAGTTTTAAATTTTATATTTGGCGCAAAACATTTTGGTCACCACCAACGAGAAATGGCCATTGGACGCGCGGTGGTCATTCGCACGTTTTCGTGAAGCGTAGGTACTAGGTACTATAGTGCGGCCAACGAACCTAGAAGCTTGACGGTCACGCTCCTAGTAGCCATTTTTTATCAGGGGTACGAAGAATGCTTAATTTCGAAAAAAGATCGCGCAGCTACACAAGCAACCAAAATATTTAGAGCCCCTGGTTTTCACGAAAACGGCCACCAGGAGCGTGACCGTCAAGCTTCTAGTTTCGCTGGCCGCACTATATAATATATTCTATCATGATAAAAATAACATGCATGTGCCTAAAAATGTATAGTGCAAAGTACAATTTACAAACTAAGTGAAAGAACATAATATGAACAAACAAAAACCTTTCGAGAATTTATATTTATTTAGTACTTATTGTTGGGCACAGATCTTCAATATGTTTATCGACCCGACCCTAATATAATGGTCATTGGACACAATAGATGTATAAACATATTTAAGAATTTCAAAATATAGTTTACAATAGTTGGGCCGGATATAGTATATGTTCTTAGTTAGCTGATATATGTATTATATTGATGTACAAAGTGCATACTGAAGGCGATTAAAAAACAATTAACGTACCACCTTAGTGATGGTAGCATTGGTATTTTGACAGATACCTTATACTTGGCGATGTCTCGATCATATCTACAAAATCATTTCTAGGGATCAGACGTTAATAAGTACATACATCCATCCACAATATTATTTAAATAAAATCTTTACATTTGCAGTAGAAAAATATTAGAACGTTAAAAATAAAACTGCTCGTCTTTATAATTTATTCGTCCATATACAGTTGACAATACACCAAAATGCTGTTAAATAAAAAATTTAATTCGAAAGAACATCCATATAAATATTACGGTATGTAATAACTCACTTTTGCATATTTATTTACATAAATAATATATCTGTTATAATTTTACTTTTTTATGCATGCATTTTTTTGTTTTATAAATTAATAACTTTTAAAATTACAATATATTTGTATTTATTTTGAATAAAATAAAATTTGGCTTTATTATCAGTTTTGGTTAAAAAACCTTCCAACTCGGATAAGGAGTACGACTCAGACAATGCTTCCACCTCAGATGAAGAGTATGACTCAGACAATCCTTCCACCTTTGATGAGGAGTATGACCCAGAAAATCCTTCCATATCTGGATATAATTTTCCCACTTTTTGTAAGTATATATATTTACTAAAAATAAATAAAATATAACTAATATCTTTAGAGTGTAAATAAACACCCGTGACCGAGCTAAAAATTGATAAGGCATAATATATATATACTCCACTCGATCATTCCATCATTTGTACATTATTTATTATAAAACCCTTAAAAAAAATTAAAGAATAGCATTTTTTACGTGTAATGGCATGGCAAAGGATATTTCCAGATATTATTGAGATTTTTTTAAATATGGTGGTAGAGGATAATGGTTATTAAGTCTATTAATTGCAAATGTAATACCATACCCAATAGGTAGTCAAAACCGGTGCAACACAATTGCACCCGGCTTACCTTTTTACCTGTACAAACTCAACACGATATATATTATATATAACACAAACACACACAAATATATATATTTATATTATATCAGTATTTCCAAATTACATACGAATATCATTATTTAGGATGAATAAAATTTATTTTTTTTCGAGCATAATTTTGTTATTAAGTTATATTTTTATGCATTCTTATTTAAATAAAAAATTGTTAAATATCATCAAAATAAACATTAATTTCAAAATTTTTCAGCATATAATTAAGTAGACTAAAAATTGTAAATTTATTTTAAATAATTACATGTAGCAATACATTAAAATAATATAAAAATTTGATTAAAAAAAAACTAATAAATATACTTATGATTTAAAAATATATATATCAAAAATACTATAAAAAGTTATGAAAGTAATAAATTAATAATAAAATATTGTCTCAATTAGGTAATTCAGTACACTTACTAATTAAAATACCTGGTTATACATATTGGAAAACCAAGTCTAAGGAAAACTATGTTTTATTTTTAAATAGTGTATTGGAAAATTGTTTGAATAGATATATATATAATGCATATGTTATTTATATATTAGGGATTCTTATATATATATTAAAGAGCATCTTGTTGAGTTTTGTACAGGTAAAAAGAAAAATCGGATTCTATTGTGCTAATTGGTTGGGCGCAATCGTGTTAGGTTAGGTTTTTTGAATGAAATAAGGTAAGCCGGACGCAATTGTATTACAATCAGTCAATACTGATACCTTTCACCATTTTTTTGTCTAAAGTGATGGTAGTCCACATTCCTCAATATATTATCTTTACCTCTAGAAAATTTTTAGTTCATGGGGCCACTATTTTCGTGCATGGATTATTTAATGTACATAATATGATTGATGCGATTCTCCTTTTTGCAGACAATCGAAATCCGTCGTTGCATTCACGGATGATAGGCAATGCCAATGCCAATCAAAGTTTTCGTGAGAATCGAATGCCACCAAATTTAACTTATGAACAAATAATGCAGTTGGAAGAGGCGTTTTTGGTCAGTCCTTATTTAACTATGAGGGAACAAAAACACTTAGCCAGGAAGTCGTGCATTAACAAAGATAATATAAAACTATGGTTCCGAAAAAGGCGATTAATAGGTAACTCAGTTAAAAACAATGATTTAATAAAATATGTTTAAGATAGGCATCTAAAGATATCGTGTCCTACTTTATATTTGTTACTATTATTGTAAAAATTGATTACTACACCGGAGAGTGGTTAACCCTCCCCCCTCCCACCAAGTAATATTTAAATATAAAATTAAGATCTAACCAAAAATTTTGAACTATATGTTGTATCCGACACCTGCGTACTTCGAAATATATAAATTTATACAAAATAAAACAAGTCCCATAAAATCATAAGAAAACTCCAAAAATTTTTAATATGAAAAATTTATTATAAATTCATATTTTATATCTTTCATCAAAATTTGAAGTTCTAAGTTACTTAAGAACGTATATTAAAAATTAATATTTCAGAAAGTATAACGTGTATGATTGGATAAAAATATACATTTCAGAACAAGAACACTACGTATAATAGTCCGCTTCACGTATACTGGCAGGTGCCCTCCGCCGTACTTCGAATATTACACACCACACGG